TATCAAAATGTTATAGTTACATTATCATTATTATTATATAATTTCATGCATTTAATTTCATTGTTATTAGATATATACTCTGCCGTTGGTTTAATTTTTAACTAAACAGCACCATGCATAAACAACAAATCCTCTATATTACATCAAGAGTGGATATCCACTCTTGATTACATCTATTTACAACTGCTCTCCTGTGCAGAGAAATTAGAAATTGATTATATAGATTACAAATTACTGTACAGCACTATAGACCCAATTAACACACCCTCCTAATTATTGCACCTTTACATGGCTTCAATACTTTTAAAATTCTATTCCTATCTAAACAATATACATGTGTTTATTTTATGTTAATTAGGTCTTTTGTAAGGCACATTGGCATAATTATATACACTTGACATGCCTTCTAATTATAGTGAATCTGAGGATGATACCGCTGAGAAAGAATTTGGAGCAGTTGGAGATAAAAAGGAAAAGAAAGAAGAAGAAGGACTGGACAGGAACATGTGGGCACCTGAGGAAGATGAAGAAGAAAATAAGGTCAGCACCATATTGTCATAACATGTGTCACTTGTTAGTGTCCTTTATAATGTAGGAGGATCTTAATAAAGAGTCTGGTGGTGGAACATCTGAGGATAATGAAACCCACCTTGCTGCTAAGGACTTGGATTCAAAGAAAAGAGACAAATAGGAGAAAGAAGGAGATAGGGAAGGAGAGAGAGAAGAGGAAGAAAGAGAGGATAATGATGAGGAACTTATCAATGATCAAGATGATTACTTCACGGCCGAGAATGATGCTCAGCAAGGAAATGAACAAGTAATTAGAGAGAATGGTGTAGATAAAATTACGAATCAAGCTTGATTTAACTTTTATTTTAAAATGTATGTAAAAAGGCATGACAATAATTTGAAGAATTGTTATGACTACAATTAACCATACTTTTTAATTATTTTCCTAGGAAGAGACAGAGGGAGATGGAGGACAAGAGGATTTTGGTGACATTAATCTTGACTCCAGTAGTGACATGGAAGAAGGTAATGAAGACGGTGAAGGAGATGAAGAAATGGAAACTTGTAAGAAAAGTGACTTCTCTGACTGTGAAGAAAAGGATGACAATAACAATGGGGACACTGAAGAAATGAGCAAAGAAGATGAAGAGGTATGAGAGTTAAGAAATAGTATAAATATTTTTCTTGTCTCTCTCTCTCTCTCTCTCTGTCTTTCATTTTTCTTTTTAGTGTTTAGAAATGGATGCTGATGGCATGACGTATACTTCTAATGACAAAATTTATGGAGTTCCTCAGTCTCAAATCGTACCCACTGAAGTAATGTTGAT